ATATCCCATTTTGTTTTGGGTTTGTTGTTGATTTCAGTTTGGAGGTCTTATGAGTGCTGGTATTGTCTTGTTTTCGGGGACGTAAGTTTTCATCTCTTCTGCTTTAATGTGTATATAATGAGCTTTGTTGTTATTTTTGTGGATGAAGTTTAGGTGTATTGGTTATTGGATTATTGTGTTGTTGTGAATGTCAAACAGATGATTATTGGGTAGTTTGGGAACTGCAACTCGGATGATGATTGTGATTTATCGAGTTAGTTATGTGGTCGTCTTAGGGTTTCCAAATGTAATTATTCACAATGGATGTGTATCCAAGCGTGATCAGGCTGCCTGCAATTAAGAATTTTGATTGTATTGGCCTAAGCTTTAGGTCTTAAGTATCTTAATCTAAGCCCGGTCATCGGGTGTTCAATATAGCTGATTGACATGAAAGGAAGAGCCCTTGCTGTCGATTCTGTTTGATAAGGAAGCATGAGCATGAATGAGCACGAAAGTATTCATAGTGTTGTAGGATTTGTAATGGAATGTGGATCATATTGCTACACTACTTGTTAGGCCTGTTGTTGTGGTTCACATGTTGCTTGAAATGGTTAGAAAGTAAAGAGATTTCATCCCCTATGAATTGACCCTTTGTACTTGGATTTTGAAAGGATTGATTACATTATGTTTAGTGACTTAGATAAGGAATTGTGAAATATGATGGTTTGATAAGTGACAATTGTGCTTGACTTTAGATTCAATATAGGTAAGGACTTTGTTAGTTGTATGTCCCTGTAAGGCTGTAATTGAAGATCATGGTGCTGTCCTCAAAACGTTGCTAATGATATCTATTGGGTCAAGATTAGTTATTATTGTAGCCTGAAGAGGCAGTTATTGAGAAATTGTTATATACCCAGGTGCATCATACACCCATGACTCCATGAGTATTTTGTTCTCATTTTGATAATTGTTTTATTTTTTTATTTTTTATTAATTTATTATTTTTTTTATGTCATCATCAAATGAGAGCAAAAACTAATCTTGGGTGTATAATCTTTGGTGTATGGTGCACCTAGGTGTATTTAACAAATTCTAGAAGTTACTTGGTTAGTTAGAAGAGAGAATGGCATCCAGAGTAGTTTCTGTTTATATCTTGGGAATGAATTGTTTTATTTTTTTATTTTTTATTAATTTATTATTTTTTTTATGTCATCATCAAATGAGAGCAAAAACTAATCTTGGGTGTATAATCTTTGGTGTATGGTGCACCTAGGTGTATTTAACAAATTCTAGAAGTTACTTGGTTAGTTAGAAGAGAGAATGGCATCCAGAGTAGTTTCTGTTTATATCTTGGGAATGAATCACGCCACTCGAAAGCTAGCAGGTTATGGATTAGTTGGAAGGGGGAGGGGGGTGTTGATGATGGAGATGTATATAGACTAAACATTGATTCTGGAGTGACTATTTTTTCCTAAGATGGGAAAGTGATAACAAAATAATCTGTCCTTTTCTACCTGTTATATATATTGATGGGGGTGGGTTCGGGGAAGGGGGGGTGGGGTGGTGGGGGAACAGATGATTGTCCTTACTTTTTTTAGTGCTAGTTTGTTGAAAGGTGTAATTTTTAAATTCAAACAATAACTATTGACACAACCTTTCAAAACACTGATTTTCATGCATTTCAAAACTATACAAGAGCTCGTAATGTTGTCATAAAGACCTAAAATCTTTTAAACCTAATTTTGAAATTCTTTGAAAGTTGAATGATCAACCTTGTAGTTGCTTGACAAATTAGCATGGCCTTTGGAGGTCACCAATGTTGTGTAGATTTTGTGAGAGGTGGGAGTATTAAATCATAGAATGAAGCATTAGTTGGTGAAAAGGACTATATTACTCTTTTCAGTGCTTATAGTTATAATGAGATATATTTTATACAAGCAATCTCTCACTAGTTCTTTGCATGTATTTCAAAGGCTCCTATAAGAACTCATTTTGTACATTATTATGTATAATATGCAATCATTTGGTGTTTATGAGTTGATAAGCCCTTAATTATGTACCCATTTCTTTGTGAGCTTTATTAAGGTTAAAATCAGTGGGCGAGGTCACTGCATAGAAGTTCAAACCTAGTGCATTACAATGCGTAGCTTCTTGGCAATTGCTTAGTTGCCAATGAAATGCTATTTTTTTGGTCACTTTTTGATCTGGAAATTGTGCATCACTCCTAATCTATGAATTAAACTCTGATATATTGATTCTTCTAAATTGATGTTTTGAAATCATGGCTCTAAGCCTCATAAATAATCCCAGCTTTGAGTTATTTAGAACAATCCTTTGTTGGATCTAATTGCAAGTATATTTGAAGTGCTTGAGTAAAGTATGAAAGGACACCGACCCAACTTTGATTATAACTGTAATTTAGATGCTTATCTCTGCATTTGGTACATTAAGAGAAAGCTTGCATATAGTTTCATTTTATTCTAGCACTGAGTCTGCTGTATCCTAGAGAAACTTTCTTTCATTGAGGTTACTTTGAGGAACAAATGTATGCCTTACTAAGAATTGTTCATTTCAAGTTTGTCCAATTGTCACGGCTTGAACTTGGAACCTCTAATGCAGTAGGCACACAAGTAGGACTTATAGATGCACAGAGTATTCTATATGGTAATGCATTAGGTATGCATTTTAAGCGTAAGTCTTGAAGATAACAATATATTGACTGGTGATGCATGGTGGAATAGAGCTCTGTATCTTCCATAATTGTCTGATCAGTGGTATGAGATGGGAGGAACAACTTTGGTTGATTTTACAGCATGTCTGCGTAGGAATTTTGATAATATTTGGCATAATGATCACGTGTTCTTCAGGTGGAATGTTATATTTAGAGTGACAACTTATTGATACTAAATCCTATGGTGCATCTAGTTGTAATTTACCTCCGAGAAGGTGGGCGGCAGCTTGTGTAGAGCTATTTTTTTGTATTTGTTCTGCATTTAATGATTTCATGATAGTCAGCAACATGTACTTCCAATTGCTTTAGCAAATCATTCTAAGCCAAATCAGGTGATGTAACGCTTTAGGCAGTTTTTACATGAAAGTTGAAACTGGACAGCTTGACTTGTGGTTTTACACTTTTTGGAGTAGCATTTAGTTACAGGCATAGCTTGCAGAATGGTATTGCAAGGCTAAGAAATGATTTTGAAAATGTGGTCAATATTTTATATGATTAAAGGGTTCTTTTTGGAAGTACTTCAGAATCTTGAGTTTGCTTCTTGTATGGCTTCTGGAAAGAGTTTTCCTTCTCTTTTCAAAGACTTTTGGCATCATTGCGGAAGTGATCATGCAAAATGCTAATATTCACTTTATTTATTTATTTTTTAAAATTTTAATGTACTGCATCCTGAATTATTCTTATAGATGCCTTCTTGATAGTGAAGAAATTCATTCAAGGCATATTTAAAGTGCAAAAAAGCGTGTTAACTTCCAAATTGAACTGATGCATCTAGAGTTGATTATTTTGCAGGTGCTACTCCGTGGCTTATCTAGAAGACAGAAAGTTCAATAGATTGGCACCAATTGGCGGCTTTGCGTTTATAGCTGGTTGGGCTAGCCTGCTTTTCTGAAAACTCGAGGTACAAAAGACAGTATGCACACTTATTCATTGTAAACAGATAGCGGAATTATTACTTGGACTGGTAGTTTGGTACAATGCATCAAAAATGATTCAGACATTAGTGTAATTGAATTGTTAAACTATATATTGTTTCAGCATTTACCAGTGTATCATGTTGAGTGCATAATTGTGATGCATCTTCCCAGTACCATCGACTACTGTAAAGTCTTGATATCATTTTCTTGTGTACACAAGTACTGCTGTCTAGGGCTGTACAGAGTTTGGTCTGGACTGTAACCAAACCAGACCAAACCGCATTTTAGCGGTTTGGTTTGGTTTACGGTTTGAAAAAATACGGTTTGGTTTCAATTTTTTGGGAAATACGGTTTGCGGTTTGGTTTGGTTTTTCAAAAATTATAAACCAAACCAAACTGTAAACCAGTAAACCGCATTTTAATATTTATATAATTTTTATATAAATTAAAATAGTTAGTATATAATATGAAAAAAAAAACAAAAAAAAAAAATGAAAAATCATTAGAAGACTATAAGGTCAGTATACTACTATACTCTATACTCAATCTCAAATATCAATACTTAAAATTCAATAGGTCATACAACTATAATGTAGTATGAATTATTTTTTTAGACAAATGTATTATGTTTTTTTCCATTGTTAATTTGTTATGTATTATTTTATTATGGGTTATTGTGTTAGCACTGAGCACTTGATTAGTTGGTTGTTATTTTTATTAAAAATTTGTAGTATAATTCAATCCCTTTGGGCTAATTATTTGAACTTTATTATAATCTTATTAATATTTAACAATTTTTAGGAAAAAATGTCGTCTCCTCATAAACCGCAAACCAAACCGCATTATTACAGTTTGGTTTGGTTTGGTTTCAATACTAATATGGTTTGGTTTGGTTTGGAAAATTGACCAAACCGTATTTTGCGGTTTGGTTTGGTTTAGACTCAAACCGCACCAAACCAAACCATGTTCACCCCTACTGCTGTCATGCTGTGTATACGTAGTACTAATTTTGCGATTGTTTTATTCTTGCATTTGAACGGTCTGAAGCAAGATACACAAGAAATGATAATCATAATACCCGTTATATTTTTCTCCTTCCATTCTCTAGTCATCACTCTATTTAAGTTTTTTTTTTAGGGGGGGAGAGTAGCTAGTATATGTTACTCAGACTTTTCGTCTTACCTCAAGTACCCGTGTCAAACCCTCGACACCCGAACATGAGTATGACACTTGGACACTTCAGTTTACTTTAAAATCATAGACTTTTTTCACAAAATAGCCGAGTTGGACATTTAGATACATTTGTGTTGGACATGGGTGTCCGAGTCTGAGTAACATAGGATAGTGTAGATTTACATTGTGAACGCGAACTGGAACTGAAATTAAGGGAAAATATGTTTATTTTGTGTTTGCAATTGAATATTCTACTCCATTGTTCATACAATATCAATGTGAACTACTTTGTTCTTACATAACATCAGCTTTCTTCTAGCTTCTTTTTCAAAACCTCATTTACAACTTGACATATAAAGAATGTAAAATTAATAATTAAAAGTATTACAAATAAAAATTAAAACGTAATTCTCAAGAAAGATATTCGAAGTGGCAGTTGTCATGACCTGCACGGCAAAAATAACAAAGGCAAATCATTAAAAGGATAAAGTAAGATTCACACAGTTAAGAAAGTAGAAACTTGTCTTAACCCCTTTCTGTGTACAACTGGAAATTGCTAATAAAGAATTGGTAACATAACACATGCAACATTCGCTGAAAACTTTAAACACCTAACATTAAATTAGTCAATATCGGAATAAACGAGTAATTATTTTGACTAGCGTGTTGCAACAACTGCTTATAACAACTTTAAACAGCTAAATGAAACTAGTCTATATCAAAACGTATTAGCTGATTTGACTAGGAAGTTGCATCAACTGCTTGCGGGTATTTTCCCACAAGCGTGATACTTATTGTTTTATTGTTTTGTTTGGTTCACCAAAACCAGAAAAGGCCAGGTTAAGATAGCATGTATATGTCAGGATGCCCATCATATATGCACATGTACATAATGCACATAAACATGCTTTTAATCTTAGTCTACTAATAAATCCATGTGGATATGATGGTGAATTGGTGATGATGCTAGGACCCTTCATGCTTCTTTTAACTTGCTTACATATTTTGTCTTTCTTTTTTTGGGATTCTTTTATCTCTATTTAGAACTTCCAAATGCGTAAGTTATATAGATTCCATAGGTTATAAGTTCTATATGCATAAGATATATAGATTCCATAGGTCTAGTATGCCACTTTATATATTTTTATTTTTATCATTACTATTTGTGGCCACTTAATTACAATGTATAATAATTTTTTTTTGTAAAATAATGAAAATCCAAATTCACTTATTTACATGCTAAATAAAATTATAAAATTTTGATGCTTTTAACAAAATGGCCATAATGCTCCCTTTTTTTTATTATTTTTTTTTATGTAGAGAGAGTTACGATGGAAAATGATGTGGACAAGATTTGATTTCAGGCCTTTAACACAACTCCTCAAGACTTTAACCACTTAAACTAATTGATTATCCACATTCGTATGAGTATTTTTTTTGCTAAATTGAAAAAATTAACAATGTATTCAAGTATAATGAGTTAAATTACTTATGTACGGAGTATTACTTTAGCAAAATCATTTTACAATAATTTTAAATTTTTAATAAATGTTGTATGTGTCAGATTTATAATGGAGAACCTATAATCAAACCAGTTAATTCAAATTATTGCAAAATTAGTGTATACTTAGAAAGAAAAATTACACATTAAGTATTTGATATGTCAAAAATGATAATGTTGCAATCATTCGTCTGTAGGAGAGTGATTTTTTATGATAGATTGATACTAACATTATGCTAAAATAGTGATTTTCATGTCATTTTAACATGTTAGATTACTAAATTCAGCAGTTAAATGTATGCATAATCTGAGAAAAAAAAAAGAGATAATAATATGGAAGAAAAGACATACTTGGATCTTGTTCAGTGATCAGGGCAGCACCATTGAAGTAGCAATTACCACCTTTGTTTTTATGATTTTGAAAGTAACTGTTGAACACAAAGTCAGCATGATCTTTGGTTGTGTTGGGTTGATAGCATGATTGATTCTCTTGAATCATGTCACACTTTACATCTTGCTGTCCACACGCCCAGTTTATCGCTGTCTGCAATTCATCATCTGGTGTCTGCACATCCGCGATGCACCACTGCTGCCCTGGATCATCCTGTCCACCGTCGTCTCCTGTAACTTCACAACCCAACTACAGAATGAGCTATAAGAAACAGAGAATTTTTTTTTAGAGGTCATCTCTCAAAATCATGTAAGAAAGGAAAAACTGTTTTTATATAAACTGTGGATCCACACCAATATGGGAGGTTTAGATGTTCGCGGTTTTTATACACTGTTGTGAATGTTAAAGAAGATACCTGAAATCCGTGGAACTACGAGGAGGAGGAGCAAAGGAAGCAAGAACTTCAAAGAAGAGGAATACATTGTGTGTTAAAGAGGAGAAAATTTTGGGATTATTTTAGGTGGGATGAATTGCTGGATTAACAAATAGAAGAGGAAACTCCAGTTTATATAGCAAAAAATCAATTGATAATGTATTAAATTTGATGACAAAGTGTGTGTGTGAAAATTGCTTAGAAATGCAAGTGAAGTAAGTCACCGACTTGTAAATGGGTCCTTGGATCTGATTCTAATTGACATTTTAGTGTGAATACTTTTTGGCACTAATTATGGAGCAACTTGTATGGTTAATTGACTCATTACTCGTCTTTTGCTTGGAAAGAGTTGTGAGTTGTCCTCCCAAATTATTCAGACTGTCTTATACGCTGTCGCTGCCAGTCTGGATTCTGTTTTCTTAGTGTAGCACCAGTGGCCTCGAGAATGGATTTTGAATTTTACGCGGAGTATATATCATTGTTCTTTGTGGCTTCCTGACCCCTGCACTCTGAAAATGTCGAAAATAGGATAGATATACCCTGTGTCTTTATTACGACAATCAAATTTTGTGATTGAGATAGTACATGTTTTGCTATCGTTCCTCTGAACTGTCTGTTCAATGAAAGACTAACTAGCAACAGACTCGAATAATTGAATTATTTTCTTCAGAAATTCTGCTGAAAGACGAGCATCAGAAGAGAAATCTTTAAGACGAGCTAGAAACATGCAGCAAACATTGTTACCAGCATTTCCAAACAATGTGTAAATCACTACCAAAACCTCCTATTTAACCGCAAATTCTGATTCTAGCAATCTGCAAGACTTTCAAACCTCCTATTTAATTGCACTTAATACGTGATAGCTGATTATAAGTATGGACCTGATTAAGCGTGAGGGAACAGTTTTTCAGGGATCAGCCGAAACAGAAAGATGAAAGTAGATAATTTACCTGTTCAAATTCTTGAATAATAATGTTGATGATCCTTCTTTATATGTTGTAACTCTTGAAACAGTCAAAAACCTCTTTCAGATAATATAAGCTGAATCTAATATTGGTTGGCCTGTTCTATGTTTCAAAAAAATTCCCATTTAGAAACATTAGCTTAACTGCTTTATCAATTATATGAAAAGCTTAATTCTGCACAACTTACTTAGTTTGCTTATTGGAACAATGTATTATATGTGTTGGAAGATCATTTACAATGAGCTTAAGCTTAAAAGAAGGGAGTACAAATTCTTTTAAGAAGTGAGATACGTAGGCTCGGCTAATGAAGAAATCAATGGCTCTGATCATTCATTATTTTGTACGATTAATTCTTCCATTAATAGCTTTAGCAATGAAAACAATGAAATTTTTTGACAATACTGCTTCTGAAATTTGTCAAAGAGTCTTCTATTGCTGTTAATTACTCGTAGTATTTACAATCTCTAATAGGACATACGGGCTAGTCACTTTTATTGTAACTTCTATGGACCTGATGAAGAGATATTCCTTATCCGAGAATCTAACCATATACATTCATAAAAAGAAAGAAGGTTCGTAATGAAGAGCCTCTAATGACGAAACTACATAATCATCTTAGTGATTTAACCAAGGCAATGTAGTTCACAATTCGAAGCACAAATAATTACAATATGAAGTGGTGCATACCAGTGAAGAGAAGTAATGAAAGGAAGACTTGTCCATCTAACAAAACTATAGAAATGAGATGCAAATAGTTACTACACAGAGTTATCCTCAATTTATCATATAGCATTAGAGAAATGAAAATCATTCAAATCGTTTGACATGCACATCCAAAAGAACTAGTCCGTCACCACTTCGAAATACTTCCATACATGTGGATACATCATCCCTTACAACTACAGACAGGAGCTTGTACATGATCTATAGCCAAACCAAGCCCAACATAAGATCCACTTACAGCAGATAGTGCTTTTTAGGGCCTAATACACCTTAGGAAACCAGATTTTTTTTTTTTTTTTTAAAAGCCAAGAAAACCACAGCTCCAAAAACTTAGCTACTGCAGTGACAGAACCTTCAGAATTGATGCAATTACAGCACATCTGCATCTTGAACGAACTTAACCTGCAAATATAGCAGAATTAGAGGGGGTAAGAAAGGCATCAGTGTATTCAAATGTGTTGCATTTCCTGATTCAGCATATCCTAGAAATTGCACAAAGCACTAAACTAGCAAACCAAGAATAAAGCAAGCGGAATTAGTTGTCTGTAATTACCCTTTCGTGGAGAGGTAAGGAAGACACAGGATGCCTTCAAGTCATCTAACAGGCCTAAGGGGTTAAAGCTAATTACCGAGGAGATGTGAGAATAACATGAGCTATAGGGCCAATTGGCGAATTGCAAAACTCTAACATGAACCCCTATTTCATAATCTTTGTGATTGCAACTTTGTAAACTTTGTGGTTACACCTTAATCCTAGTTTTACTTTGTGTTAGCTTTGATTAAGAACCCCTATTTCATAAATCTTGGTGATTGTTGAGATAGGTTTATCTTGTTTTGTTGATTTGAAGTTGTTGTTAGTTGATTTTAACCCCTTTTTTCTTGGTTATTTCATATCAAATATAGTGTCTTATTAGTATTGTGATGTTTCCATTTTAGGAAAGTGTTGCAAGTATTAAAAAAAGAATGAAGTATCAAATACTTGTTAAGCAAGAGCAATGTTACTTGGACTCTTCATTTCACCTCACGTACCCGTGCGGACCCTCAACACTCGGACATGAATTAAACACCCGGACACTTCACTTTTAGTTCAAAATCATGGAACTTTTTCATAAAATAGCCAAGTCGAACACTTCGAACGGGTACGGGTACCCGTGTCGAACATGGGTACCCAAGTCCAAGTAACATAGAGCAGGATAGATTGTTATATACAGTCAGAGTACACGGTGCACTCATGAGTATTTTGTTTTCATTTTGATAATTTTATTCATTTAATCATCAAATGAAGAGCAAAAACTAACCCATAAGTTAATTGGGTGCACGGTGCACTCGAATAGTCGAATGTATGTACATAAGAATTTTCAATTAGGCAGGGTATATTGGCTCACAACCCTGCATTTATTTATACTTCCTCCCATTTCATAATGCATAGTAATAAGAACATAACAATCAAATAGAAATGTAAGGGCTTGTGGCTTGTCCATCTAACAAAACTACAAACATGAGATGCAAATCTTTACTACACCGAGAATTGCCTTGGATTTGTCATATTACATTAGAGGAATGAAAATCATTCAATTCATCACATGCACATCCAAAAGAACAGGTCTGCATCACTTGGAAACATTTCCAGTCATGTGGAATATAGCCAAACCAAACCAAGCACAACCTAAGATGAGTAAGATCCACTTACAGTAGATAATGCTTTTTATGGCCTAATACACCTTAGGAAACCAAGAGAAAGAAAAGAAAAAACTAACTTAAAGTCTTAAACCAAGCACAGCCTAAGATCCACTTATAGTAGATAATGCTTTTAGGGCCTAATACACCTTAGGAAGCCAAAAAAAAAAAAATTAAACCAAGAAAGCCATAGCTCGAAATCTTTATCAAGCTGCTGCGGTGACAGCCTCTTCAGAATTGATTCCATTATAGTAAATCTGCATTTTATTTAACCTGTAAATTACGCAGGAAAAAAAATGTTTCAGTTATTCAGTATCCTTGAACTTGCACAAATCACTAAAGTAGCAAACCAAGAACAAAGTGGAACTAGCTTCCTTTTTTTTTTTCCTGTTTCCGGGGGGGGGGGGGGGGGGGGGGGGAGGGGAGAGGAAGACACAGGACTTCCAAGCCATCTAACAGGTCAAAGTGATTAGTGCCAATTACCATGGGGATGAAAACAACAAGAGCTATAGGGGCCAACTGCAAAACTCTATCATGCTCAAAAGGTTGGATAACATAAGAACAAAAACTTTTCCAAAGTTCTACACGAAATCCATAATTGACATGATAGGATCTTTCACTCTTTCAGTTAAACCCTTCACATAACAAGGTCAGAACTACAGTGAGCTAATGGAGAAGGATCTAATTCAAAGGCTTTTAGCATTGAACCATCACAAGATTTATGGCTTTATAAGCCTTTATGTACTCAAAAGTGCCACACATAATCATTTCACACCTAAAAAAAGAATAAAAAAATTAAAGAAAAGTTCTTATCTAGGTTTCAGAAATACCCAGATCATTTTCCATTTTAACTTATTTTAATAGTCTTCCAATTAAATTACTAATTCTAAGGCATAGTTTTTTCCAATGGCTTAATTATTCACACAACTTACTTGAAAAACTAACATATATGTCATCACAAGCTTCTTTCCCATAGCTTCCTAAAAGAATTCATTCCCTTAGAAACAATTGAAAAAAAAAAGATACAAATTGTCATTATATACCATAAAACTTTCTAAGCTCAGTACTGCCCTACTGCGAGAGAAATTACGAGTAAATCTCCCAGATTAACTCGGAAGGTCTCGTACTACAGCACGATACAATTACGGTAAGAGGACCAAACAAATCAACAACAAATGCATAAGACATTGATATTCTCTCAGCTTCGTATTGCTTCCACTTGCTTGACAAGTTGACATTTCCTGTTGCCAGTGTTATGTGATAAGAGTAGATACTCACCCTCTAAGAGTAAAATTAAACCCTCTTCGTACAAGGCCTACAAGGTTAAATACCATGTAGATCTATAACCCTCAGGCAGTATTGGTTAGTTCAACAGCTAGACAAAACTACCCATATTGCACAGATGGTCATACAAATTCAACCGAGCAGAATAGTCAAGGAACCTCCGACACTTTTTACGGAAGGAGAAAGCACCAACAAAATTATGAGGTACTTTAGTTAACTCTTGTATGACTGTATCGGCTTGTAATTGAGAATGACCCTGACAACTTTGAAAGTCATTTGACAAAGCATCATAATCAAACCAAAACTCGTATCATATATAACAAAAACAGACCTACAGCCCATTATCACTCTTATAATCCCAAACCCATTGGAAGTTTCAAACTCTAAGTCAAACAGGGAGGGACTTTTTCTAATAGCAGGGTTCCAAAATATGAGAGAGAGAGAGAGAGAGAGAAATGAGGTAAGTTGCTGACCTAGGTATTTCAAGGTCTTAAGAAACATCTCTTATCACTACGAAATTCTATGAGATGACACATGACACTATGAAATCTAAAAACTTGTTGCCGGATGGGAAACGAACTAGAGAAGAAAAAACTAACAGAAAGAGTTATACCAAAGTTGCATGTTATGCTCACTAACAAGCAAACTTAAACAATATTGAATACAATGATTTCAAAGATGCTCTTATGTCTAGTTCCACATGTAAAAATAACAGTGTCACATGTA